TAGAAGGATGGTAGACTTGTAGGTGGTTTGGACATGTGACTGTCACTTCACAAAGGTGATTTGTGTTTACCATGTGCCACACAAGCAAACATTAACACACTTAGATTATAATTTGTGTTGTATTGTGTTTCTGTATTTAATGTAATTGAGGCTTAAAGTATTAGGTGTAAATATTTGCTTTTACCCTTAGTGGAAGGTAGCAAGTAGAGAGCAGTGAAGGGTAAGTGGTCACACGATTTCATGCCTCTAGAAGCACTGATAGTTTTATTAACTGGACTCTTCATCACAAGAAAGTGAAAGCATGAAAGCAAACACCTTCATTTGTTCCTCTGATGAGACTTTGAGAAACTGAAGCAGAGTTTTGGCTCACAGGGTCAGCCTCACAACCCAGAACCTTAGCTTCTTGTACTCAGGTGCACATGAGCATCCTAGCCCTCCTGAGTACGCTTTCTGTTTGTCTGGGATCACTCCTAGAGCAGTACATATTTTGGGAATGCCCTTGAACTTGATCTTGGGGCTGACATTATGGCATAGCAAAGCAAATGAAACATCCCCTCTGGTCGCCAGTTGGAATCACAGCTGCTCTACTTCTGCTACTGATGTCTTCGGAAAAGCATCAGAAGATGGCCTAATCCCTTGGGTCCTTGTACGCATAAGGGAGACCTAGAGGAAGCTTCTGGCCATTACACCTATCTAGGGGGTGGACTGGAAGATGGAAGATATATCTTTCTCTCTCTCTCTCTCTCTCTCTCTTCTCTCTCTCTCTCTCTTTCTCCAATACATAAATAAATCTTTAAAAAAAATACCCTTGCTGTTGCTGCATGGGGCTGGTGTTAAGCATTCATGTGAAATGGGTTATTTGTCACACACAGGTCCTGCATGTATGTATAGCCCTTGGCCTTGTGCCAGGAGAGCCTGCTGGTCAACCAGGAGTCAGCTAATCCTGTGAAGGAGTTTACTAGCTAATACCTTTATGACTCTCTCTGAAGGGTGCTTAATCCCTGTAAGGAGCAGAAAATGAACCACTATGATGAAGTTTCCAAAAAAAACCCTTCCTGGAGAACATGGTTTTGGCCAGAATATCCATGATGAGATTGACGCAAGGAGGGAAAAGCTGAGCTTCCATTCTTGTTTTGTTGTTGTCTTTTTTTTTTTTAAGATGTATTTTGTCTTATTTGTTTGAAATGCAAAGTTAAAGAAAGGTAGAGAAAGAGATCTTGTATCTGCTGGTTAACTCCTTCAAATGATCATAATGGCCACAGCTGGACAGGTACGAAATCAGGAGCTTCTTCTGGGGCTCCATTTGGGTGCAAGGGCCCAAGCACTTGGACCATCTTCCACTGCCTTCCCAGATCATTAACAGGAAGCTGGATGGGAAGTGTAGTAGCCTGGACTCAAGCCTGTGACCATATGGGATGCTGGCACTGCAGATATCAGCTTTACCTGTTGCACCACAACTCTGGCTCCTGGAAACCCATTTGCTAATACCCATTTTCTTAAGATTTATTGGAGGGTTGGGAGACAGATCTTGTCTAGAACTTGTTAAATTGAAAAACCTAACTGAAATGGTAGATTTCATTATTGGCGAGTTGATAATTCCAAGGTGGCCTTTTAAGAACAAAGATTTTGGGCCCAGCACAATAGCCATGTTGCTAAGTCCTTGCCTCATGTCCGATCCCATATGGGCACCAGTTTGTATCCCAGCTGTACTGCTTCCTGTCTATCTCCCTGCTTGTGGCCTGGGATGGTTGTGGAGGATGACCCAAAATTTTGAGACCCTGCACCTATGTAGGGGATCCGGGGGAGGCTCCTGGCTCCTGGCTTCTAATTGCCTTGGCTCTGACCATTGCATTTATTCACTTATTTGAAAGAGGGTGAGGGGGAACCATACATAGAGAGTGAAAGAGATCTTCCATGCCGTGCTTCACTGCCTGGATGGCCCCAGTGGCTAAAGCCAGGAGCCAGGAGGCCAGGAGCTTCCTCTGGGTCTCCCAGGTAGATGGCAGGGATCCAGGCACTTCGGACATTTCCTAGTGCTTTTCCCTAGCCATTAGCTGGGAGCTGGATTATAAGTGGAGCTGCCAGGATTGGACTTTTTTCTCCCCACTCTCTCCCCTCTCTTTGTAGCTTTGCCTTTCAAATAAATAAATCTCTACTGCCCCCCAAAATAAAATCCCTTTACTAAAAACTGAATATGAGTCCAACAAAAAGAGAGACAATTCTAGATATTGAGTTCCTTTTCTTTTTTTATTAAGTTTTTCTTTTTTAATTTTGATGAACTTTACATAGTTGAGTAGGGAACAAAGGATCAAGGGTTACAGGAAAGTGGGTAAGACCATTGCTTCCATATTTGTGTGTGTGTGTGTGTGTGTGTGTGTGTGTCTGTCTGTCTGGGGTAAGGAGGGAGACAAAGGGAGAAGCCCTACTCAACCTCCCACCCCATCCCAGAGTCCCCGACATGGGGCATGTCCCAAGGGCACTGCGCAAGTGGTTTCAATAGTTCAGCAATTCTGAGTTGCTGCCAGTCTCACAATTCCAAGCATGATGAAATCTCTCCAGAATCCACTTGGCTGACATAGTCCACCTAAGGGTCCTCTGTTATGGTACCAAATGTCCTCTGTAGACTCTGATGGACGGCCACTTCCTCCATGTGCACTTGTATATGCTGTCCACTGCTCCATCTGAGTCTCTGGAGGCTCAGCTCTGACACCTGCCCTCCATGGTTGGACCTTGGAATCTGCAATTCTCTTCATGATTGGGGTTCTGGGATCAGCACTTCAGTTGGAGGATCTGCAAATAAACTTCATCTGAGGTGATCCCAGACCTTATTCTTGTGTATGAATGCCAGTACAGGGTCCGGCACAATCCGTCACCCCAATCAGCTTATACATTTGCTGGTGCTTGCAGTTGCTGGGTCAGTTCTGTTTCCAGCCCTGCCTTCCACACAAACCAATGAGTGTTGCAGTCCAGCCTGATTCTGCCCGCCTCACACTTGGCCCTCACGCAAACCAGTGGGAGCTGCAGCCTGGTCGGGGCGTGAGTTCATTTTCAAAGAGCTAAAATATTGCATCTCTAGAAAGTCAGGATGTTTTTGCTCTAAACTGCTGTGTGATGATTCAACTGTAAACAAGCCAGCTGGTCTCTTTGAATGGGAAATGGATGTTACTTCTTTTCTGGCATCTCTTTCCAAAAAAGAAACTTACAGAAACCTGGAGTTAAAATGAATCTTAACAGTCATTTTAATGCAAATTCCACTCACTGTACCCCCAAACCCAGTAGAGCAATTGCCCTTGTCCAGGACAATCATCACACCGGGTGTAGAGTGCCGAAGCATCACATAATCACCCCACTGTCTGCTTTCGCTTTCCACTTCTTTCAACAGCAGACAGTGAACAATCCCTGCCGCTTTCCCCAAAAGGGCAGTCAGAAGTTGAGTTAGCGCCTCTTAAGAAGTCAACATCTATTGATGAGCTGGTAGATTCTTTGAGACGGGTGGGAAGGTATGTGAAATACAAATTCTCAGACTATTGCTTGTTACTCTGGTGTGAAAACGGATGTGTCTCCCAAATTCCCGTGTTGAAATCCTGATGCCCAAGGTGTTGGTATTACAACGCAGGACCTTGTGGAGGTGATCCTTGCAGCCGACTAGCTCTCCTATAAGAGGGACCCCAAAGAGGAGCTTTCCCTTTCCATCCTGTGGGGATAGAGATGGAGCAGGCATTCACCAGATACCACATCTCCCAGAGCCAGGATCTTGGCCCTGGTGGCCTCCAGCACTGTGAGGCAGGCATCCTTCCCAGCAGAGAGGTGGAAGTGAGTTCTTGCTGCTTCTTCCTTCTCAACCTGATACAGGATGAAAGGTTCTGTAGCTCAGCCTGTATCGTCACTAAAGTAGCCCTAATAAAGCATGAGTACCTTTTTGTTAAATTAAAACCAAATATAATAAAAAGGTAAGGAGCTAACACAGGGACACAGCGTGCTAATCCTCCACCTATGCTGCCGGCATCCAATATAGGCTCCAATTCAAGTCCCTGCTGCTCTACTTCTGATCCTGCTTATGGCCTATAAAGCAGCAGGGAATGACCCAAGTCCTTGAGCCCCTGCTCCCATATGGGAGACCCAGAAGGAACTCCTGGCTCAAGTCCAGCATTGGAGCTATTCAGGAAGTGAACGGGTAGATGGAAGATCTCTTTTTCTCTCCTTTTCTCTGTGACTTTTTCTCAAAAATAAAATCAGCCTTTAAAAAAAAAATCTTTAAAAAGGAAGGTGCAGTAGCTAGAGCCTCTCATTTCCTTCATTGTTTGCTTCTCCCTGCTCTAACGTTTTGCTTCAACTGTGGCTCGCCTCTCTGAGGCTACTATAGTGTCACAACCATCCAGCCCCTGTATGACACTTCTGACCCTAGTAGTAGCCAAGAAAAAAATAAGGGTTTCTTTGGCAACTCCCCACGAGGTTGTTTTTGGTATTTCAATGACAAGTCTTTCTAATAAAATGTTTGTATGCATTTTCTTTCCAGATCTAGCGCATATTCTCAAAAAATAGAAAAAAAATCAAATCCTCATATTTCTTTTTTTTTCCTGATTTATTTTTTAAGTAAAAGCAAAAACAATCTAAGTTATGCAAAGCTATTAAGGCAGCTATTAGAACAGGTCTTGTTAAAAGCCTCTGCATAAAAAAGGTGGAAAGGGCTCCACTGTCCACCAGTGGGGATGGGTCAACATTCTTTAGAATGTCCATGCAGCATGAAATGGTGTGAGGAATGTAGGAAGATCTCCAAGATGTTAGCAAAAGGAGGGGAAAAGCAAGATGAAGGGAGTGTGCAGATAACTGTTACTGCTTTCCAAAGTAGCTGAGAGCCTTAGATGGGATTCACAGTAGGAAACTTTTTGCCATGCCTTGGTGAACACAGAACAGTGAACTCAAATTATAATCTTAAATGTTTTTATTATTTGCTGAAGTTTGTAGAAAAAGTGTTACAGGTTGCGGTTTTGTTTTTGCAGGAGCAGGAAAATTCAGATTCGAAACATCCCTCCTCACCTGCAGTGGGAGGTAAGCCCAAGGTTGCCCAGACTCTCTCTCCGTCAGCTACCTTTCCCCCACTCAGGATTACTAAAGGTCCTCAGATTTTCCACCAAGCCCTGAACCCTGTTTCTTCCTCTAGTACCCTGAGGTCCAGGAGCCTGTCCTGGGCCTGTCATTGTAGTTATCACCTAGTTATGCAAAAAAATGTGCATTAGGACCTCTTCTCTTCTGTCCTCTTGAGCACAACAGTGCCGAGAACCAGTAGACAAGCTGTGTACCTGGCATCTGGATTTTGTATCATGATTTGAAAACAAAAATGTAAGAACCAAAGTTGTGGTCCAGAGTAAGCCACCGCCTGCAGCACCAGCATCTGGTATGGGTGCCGTTTCACATCCCAGCAGCCTCACTTCTGATCTAGCTTCCTGTTAATGCACCTGGGAAAACAATGGAAGATGCTTGAAGTTCTTGGGCTCCTGCACCCATATTGGAGGCTTGAAAGATGCTTCTGGCTCCTGGCTTCAGACAGACCCAGTTCTGGCTGTTGCAGCCATTTGGGGAGTAAACCAGTGAGTGGAAGATTCTCTGTTACTCTGCCTTTCAAGTGAGTAAATAAAATAATCCAGTAAAAAACACAAAATCTTGGTTTGAGTGAGGTTTTTCCTTTTTAAATTTTAATTTATTTTACTGACAGGCAGGCAGGAAAAGAGAAAGAGAAAGCATCCATCTGCTGGTTCACTGTCTCAAATTGCCTGAAAAACAGCCAGGTCTGCTGGGCACCTTGAGCTCAATCCAGACCTCCCATGTGGGTGACTGAACTGTAACCTCTGGCCACCAGAGCTGGAGTAAACCTAGGCTTTCAAATTTGGGATACAGTTATTCTGGTTTTTTTTTTTTTGTAAGATTTATTTTATTTTCATTGGAAGATAGATTTACAGAGAGAAGGACAGAGAGAAAAATCTTCTGTCTGCTGGTTCACTCCCCAACTGGCCACAATGGCCAGAGCTGAGCCAATCTGAAGCCACAACCCAGGAACTTCTTCCAGGTTTCCCACACTGGTGCAGGGTCCTAAGGCTTTGTGGCATCCTCTACTGCTTTCCCAGGCCACAAGCAGGGAACTAGACTGGAAGAGCAGCTGGGACACGAGCCAGCACCCACATGGGATCCTGCAGTTGCAAGGCAAGAATTTAGCCACTAGGCTATTGCATGGGGCTGATGCAGCTGTTTTTGTTTGTTTGATGCAGTTGCTCCTAACCATGAGGCTAAACTCTGCTCCCTGAGTAAGGTTGTGTTTGTGGTGGGTTAGATGCCATGAGCAACAATTAAGATGTGTTTCCACTGTTGTAAAACTTGTAAGTTTACTACCTTAAAACAAAGTGAGATAGAATATGGAGAGTGGCTTAAAGCATTATTTAAAAACAAAACTACCCTATATTGTATTCCCCAAACCAAAGGAAGTCAAAATCACTTGAAAGGAAACAGGATACTTTACTTAACTTTTTTTTTCCTAAGACATTTATTTTTACTTAAAGGCAGAGCTACATAGAAATAAGGTGAGACAGAGAGATTGCTCTTCCAACTGCTGGTGAACTCCCCAAATGGCCACTCAGCCAGAGCTAAACCCACCAAAAACAAGAGCCAGGAGCTTCCCCCAGTTCTCCCACATGGGTGTAGGTGCCCAACTACTTGAACCACCCTCTGCTGCTTCGCAAGTCCAGAAGCAGGTAGTTGGATCGGATGTGGAACAGCTGCAACTAGAACCAGTGCCCATATGGGATGCAGAAGCTATAGGCAAAGAGCCAGCATGCTGCATCACTGCACCCGCCCCTCACTGGCTTTTTTTTTTTTAACATTGATTTTATTTTTATTGGAAAATCAGATATACAAAGAGGAGGAGACAGAAAGATCCTCCATCCATTGATTTACTCTCTAAATGGCCGCAACAGCCGGAGCAGCATCAGTATGAACCCAGGAGCCCGGAGCCTCTTCCGGGTCTCCTATGCAGGTGCAGGGTCCCAAGGCTTTGGGCCATCCTCAACTGCTTTGCTAGGCCACAAGCAGGGAGCTGGATGGGAAGCAGGGTCACCAGGACACGAATCAGCACCCATGTGGGATCCCGGCATGTGCAAGGTGAGGCTTTTAGCCACTAGGCTACCGCATTGGGTCCTTCACTGGTTTTTGAAAACCTTTTTATTACAGAGAATTTTGAACATGCATGTCCCAATACATTGTAAAATAAGCAGATTCCTGGAAGGAAAGCTGATTGAAGAATCATTTTACTTTCTAAGAAGGAGAAGTAAACCTCACTCTTATTTATTCCACTTCTTGTTTGAAGAATAGCCAGTAGGTTCAAGCCATCATGTTGAGTGATTGTTAACACTTAGCACGACTCTGAGATTCCGCCATGTCACCTTAGTGAACAAATCACTTGGGAACCAATTGAGAAATTCAAGTCTTGTATATTCACTTCTGACTTTTTATGGAAGGCCTCAGCTATCAATTTGTTAGCGCAGCTATCCTTGTTTTCCTTTAATTCATTTACTAAGGAATATCACTGCACAAAATTTTTATATGATGTTTTCTTCCCTTTTTGACATTAAGGCTTTCTTTTTCAGGTGTTGGATGGACTTTTGGCTCAGTATGGGACAGTGGAGAATGTGGAACAAGGTAATTATGAGGAAATCAACCAATTTGAGGTTTGGAAAGCAACCTTAGGGATATTATTTCTCATGGGTTGGATCAACTTCAGGGAGAAATAATGAATTCATGTAACGGGTTTCCTGGAGTTCATGAATGTAAGTCTGTGTGTGAGAGATATTTGTATCTTTCTGTTTACCTGAGGTTTTTTTTTTTTTTCAGCAATAGGATTTTCAGGCTTTTTTTCCCTGTACCTTGTAATGTGCTCAGGCACTGGGTAGGGCTGGGGTAAGCCTCATTCCTGAAATGTCACTGAGTTTACATTCTTTTGCTGCTTTCCTTTTCCTTGCTAAGAAAAAGATCCCTGATGTCTTGGACTGAGGGTTTCCCAGTGAGCAAGATTCCCACATGCAGAATCACTTCAAGAGCTTGTGGAAATGCAGGCTCCTTGCAGGAAGAGCTCAGAAATCTGTTGGAAATGAGCACCACACCCCACATTGGCTTTCATGTACCCTCAGGTAGAACCAGCATCCTAGGGACAGCATTGCTCTTGCCCAGGGTCACACATAAAATGCTAAGATTTTGTAGAAGAAAATTGTTTAAATTTGAAGCAGGGGTCTTGGGCGTGTCTTTTAAGACTGCCAGACCACAGCTATAGAGAACTGCTTGGGCTGTCTTGTACCTTGGCAAGTGTTACATTGCAGGGAGAAAAGCAGCCACTAGCTGGCAAGTGTTTTAGGCCTGGTTAATGCCAAATCTGTGTTAACTATACCAGTGTGCCAACATAGTTGCCTATTCTCTCTGTGTGTGTTTAAGATATGTGGGGAAGGTAGGGTAAGCTGGACCAGGACACACTATCCTGGTCCCAGGCATTCCACATCGCTGCACAGTATGAGGGCCTGCAGATTGCCCAGGAAAGGCGGTTTCTGGGAACGTGTTGGAGTGGAGGCCACTGAAGGCATAATTAACAAATGAGGCGTGACTTCTAGGGGCTCCCACAGAACCGACCACTTCCCTGTTGCTTAGGCTAGGATGCTGAAATAGGTTGGTTTAGTAGGGGGAACCAGAGGACATGTTTGGGTCATGCCAAGACATCAACCCATGTGAGAGGTCTGGGCTGGGCTGAGTAACATCGTCCACTGCCTGCTGGGGCTGGATGGCATGCCTGGCTGGGTTAGGCTACAGTACCTGTAGGCGTAGGGGCAGGGAGAGGGTAGGTCACATCAGGCTGGACCTCAGCACACACCAAAAAACAAGAACCAGACCAGGGGACAGATTTTGTAGGGGATTTGTGGGCTTGCCTCTGTGAGACTGCAGCACCCACTGGTTTGCATGAGAGCTGGGGGTAGTGATAGCCTGAGCCGGGCTGGACTGCAGAACTTACCTGACACTGTGGGAGCTTGGACTAGGAGGAGTCCAGACTGTGCCAAGCTGAGGTACCCATTGACACATGCAAAAGTCAGGACTGAGGGCAGACCATGCCAAGCAGGGCTGCCACACGTATAGGATCTGGGGCTAGAGACAAGCCTGGTAGGAGAATTTATGGAATTCCTCTGCCAGATCGAGGTGCCCACTGGGGAGCATAGGAGTCAAGCTCTAGGGGTAAGCCAAGCCAGGCAAGACTGCAGCACTTGTCAATATGTGTGTGGGCCAGATGCGGCAGATGCGGTGGTAGGCCTGCCTGGGCCAGGCTGCAACATCCACTGGCATGCACAAGAGCCAGGACAGGGTTGGGCTATGCCAGGCAGAGCTAGGCTGCAATTTGTGAAACAAGAGCTGAGACTGGAGTGGACCATGCCACGCTGGGCCAAAGCAGCCACCAGTACACAAAAGATCTGGGGCTGTGAGTAGTTCTGGTCGAGGAACTTAGGAGACTCCCCCATCAGGATGCGTGTTGGTTGAGTCTGGGGGCAGGTCAGACTGGACTAGGCCCTAGCACCTGCTGGTGCTTGGGAGAGCCAGAATAGGTGCAGGACAGGCTGGGCTAGGCTGCAGCACCTGCCAGATCACATGAGAGCCAGATATGGGTGTCAGCCAGTCAGACTAGGCCACAGAACCCACTGATTAGTGCCAGGATTAGGGGCTAGCAGCATGTCAGGCTTGGCTACAGTCCCCACTGGCACATACAAGATCTGGAGTTGGGAGCAGTACAGGTGGGAGACCTTGGGGAATTACCTTGCTATGTTGCAGCTCCCACTGGTGAGCCAGGGCTCGGGGCAGGACATGCCAAGAAGGACTATAGTCCTGTCAACGTACATGTGGACCAGGTCTAGTGCAGGCCAGGCTGGGCTAGTCTGCAACACATGGTGGCACAAGCAAGAGCCAGGCCAGGTTTGGGCAACAACATCTACCAGTTCACATGAGGGCCAGGGCTGAAGGTGTACCAGACTGCTGCACCTGGCTGAGTTAGCTGGGACTGGGGATAGCCTGGGCTGAGTCAGACTGCAGCACTTGCTGGTAAATGCTGAGACTGAGGGTGTGCTGTGCCAGACAGGCATGTGCAAAAACCAGGGCTATGAGCAGGCCAGGTTTTTCACAGGACAACTTTGGGGACTCTTCTGCTTGGCCATTGCTTCTGTTGTTGAGTGTGGGATCCAGGTCTGGGTATGTGCTAGGCTGTCATACCCACTGTTGCTCATAAAAACTGGAATGGATGCAGAGACCACAGCACCAAATGGCAAGTGCTGGGACTGGGTACAAGTCATGTAAGTCTGAACTGCAATGCCTCCCAGCAAATGCAAAATCCTGACGTGCAGTGGGGCTAGTTAGGGAACTGCGGGCGCTTCCCTGCTAGGCTGCAGCTCCCACTGGTGAGCAGAAGAGTCAGAGCTGGGGGTGGGCCAGGTTGGACCAGGTGGCAGCACCCACCATCATTGGTACAAGGCCCAGTCTGGAGAAAGGTTGGGCTGAGCTAAGCTGCAGCACCTGTGGGTGTACAGGAGCGCCAGGTGGGATTTGGGATGGGCCTGGCTAGGGTGTAGCACCTGCTGACACACACAAAAACTGGGGGTGGGGGCAGGCCTGGTAGGAGTCATTTTAGGTCACCAAAACTAGGTTATAACACCAGTTGGCATACCTGAGGACCAGGCTTGTGGTGGATTGGCTGGGTTGGCGGCAAAATTGACCGGCCAGCTACATCCACTGGTAAGTGTGGCGGCTGGTGCAGGTGACAGACCAAACCTGACCCTATACTAGCTGGCACACACGAGTCAAGTCTGTGGTTTCCACAAGCAAAATTTCTTGTGGAACTCCCAGACTGGACTGCTGGACTCAGACCCTGACCATAGTGAAAATCACAGGAGGTGTGGTCTGACCTTGGAGTTTATATATCAGACCTGGACCTAGTCCAGGACCTAGTCCAGGACCTATAAGGACCTAGTCCTTAGTAGCTGGACGCCTGTGCAGTGAACAGCCTGCCCAGATGTACATGGGGGACATGACATCCAGCTCATCTAAGCTGATGGAGGACATTTAGTGCCTCATCACAGGATGGGAAGTAGAACAGGTTGGGCAGCTGTTCAGGCAAAGCCTTACATGTCTGGGTTAGTGGATGCACCAAAGTGGACTTGGTCAGCCAGTAGAGCTTGGATTTTCTCAAACCTAGTGTGATGAGGCTGACAGCGTCTCAGAACTATCAAAACCACTGAAGCAAAACCCTGGGAACATTCTTTCCCACACCAGGGTCTCCAGGGCATCATCTGATGACTGTCCACCGTCCATGGGTGCTGATGTAGTTTGACAGCAAGGAGCAGCCCTATCTGCCAATTCCCCTGTGGACACAGGAGGAAGGAAAAAAATTTGTCCCACTCACCTTCCATACATCAACCCTCCCCACCCTAATTGGAGGCCCACATGGCCATACATCCCTCTCAACTAAGTAAACAATGTTAAAAATAAAAAAATTTAAAAGATGACTAGAAAAGTCGATTTCAGACTTATGAGAGGAGAGGTAGTGATATGTGATAAAAAATTATTTTTTTTGCCTTGGCTGAGAAAGCAGAACGCAGGCTCAGTCCCTTCTGACTGTAAATCCTTTGAAAAGCCACCTGCCCCTCACGGGCTCATCTCCACATATACAGAAGGGACAGGATCATTCTGTCCATCCTGACTCTCTAAATAGTGGTGACACCCAAAGAGAACCTGTCTGAAGTACTTGTGGACCGTGGAGTCGTCCATCATCTTAAAGGGTTGTTAGGAAAATCATAGATAATCTCACTTTGCAAAACTTTGCTTTGCATGCACAAAGGTGACAAAAAAAAGAGCTGAAAAAAATGGCATGGTTTCCAAGGACACAGTTTCTTAGTTCCTATTTCCCTCATGTGGGAAAGAATAATGTGTGCACTTCAAAGGCCCAGGGTATGCTCAGTGTCTGCAGCATGGCGATGCCAGAGGCAGTTCCTCCTTTTTGATTTTTAAAGATTTATTTATTTGCCATGGCAGAATTACAGAGATGGAGAATCTCCATATGCTATTTTATTTCCCAAATGTCCTAGTGGCCAGGGTTGAGCCATGTCAAAGCCAGAGCCTGGAATTCTGTCCATGGCTGACACCATGGAGGTACCAGGTGCACAGGCAGTTGGGCCATCTTCTGCTGCCTCCCCAGGCACAGTAGCAGGGAGCTGGGTCAGAAATGGAGCAACTGGAACTTAAACTGATGCTCAGATGTGATGCTGGTGGCATACAGTGGCTTAACTGCACCACAGCACCAACTCCAGCAGCTCCTCTTGAGATTAGCCCACAGGTCTGAAGTACCTTGAAGTTACTAAGCAAACAATTTTTTTCCCTGAAGACCTTAAACTTTTTTATGATCTCTTAAACTGGAGGGGTCACATTCTCACTTTTAGAATCTTAGGAAAAATTTATAAAAACCAGATAAATTGGTTATTTGCACAGGTTTGCATCATTTGAAGGGAAGATGCCATTGATTTCCTAAAACTCAGCATGGATCCAGGAGTAAAAATTATTGCATGAAAGAATTTTTATGTCACTTTTAAAAGCGGTTTTGTTATTTTTTAAAATTATCCATAACTATTTTAAAGGACACTTCCTACTTAGTCCTACATTTTGAGAAACAGATATTCTTGGGACCCAGGAAAATGGGCTCCAAAATTCTCAACTTGCAAACACTGGGATCTCATGTGGGCACCAGTTTATATCCCAACTGCTCTATTCCCGTGCAGCTGCCTGCTTATGGTCTGAGAAAGCAGTGGAGAATGGCCCGAGGCCTGGGGACCCTGTACCCACATGGGAGACCTGTAGGAGACTCCTGGCTTCAGATTGGCTTAGCTCCAGCTGTTGCAGGCACTTGAAGAGTGAACCAGTGGAGAGGGGATCTTTCTCTGGGACTCCTTCTCTGTAAAATCTGCTTTTCCAATAAAATAAAATAAAATAAATCTTTAAAAACCCTGATATTTTTGGGTAAGTTTGATGGTTTGAATTTAGAAAGATTTATCTGGCCTTTTCAATTGTCTTTTAATGTCTGACTATGAAAGAAGAGTCAAGCCATTATGAACCAAAACCAGCCAACTCATACCAATAATCCCTTGCTAACCAGTTGGGTATTTATGAACTTTCTCCTTTTAGCTGCATGATGTGGAATGGTCAGTTTTCTTTAATTGTTCAGTTACCAGGTTTAACTCAGACAAGGAGTTCATGCAGAAGGAGGCAAAAAATAGTGATGATTCAATCTATTAAAATAAAAGGTTTATTTTTATTTGAAAGACAGAGTTACAGGAGAAGAAGAGAGCGAGGGAGGGGGATAGAGAGAGATTTTTTTCCATCCACTGTGTCATTCCCCAAATGGTTACAATGTCTAGAGCTGGCCAGTCCAACGCCAGGAGCTTCCTCCAGTGTCCCACATGGGTGCAGGGACCCAAGGACTTGAACTGCGTTCCCAGGCCCATTAGCAGGGAGCTGGATCAGAAGTGGGGCAGTCAGGACTTGACAGGGTAGGGTGCCAGTGCTGCAGATGGAAGTTTAGCCTTCATAGCACAGCACTGGCCTTGTAACAGGTCAGCCTTATCAATGCGCAAAATTAAAATTAAAAGCATTTCTGTAATGGTGGTTATCAGCTGCTGGAAGTTGCAGTTTTAATGGGATGTTGATCAAAAGATACACAATTTCTAGCTAGCCTGGAAGAAGGAATTCAGAGGCTCTATTGTATTTCATGAAGACTCTAGTTAATAGCAATGCATACTTAAGCATTGCTCAGAGTGGTTTAAGTGTTCTTGCCACCAAAAAAAAAAATTAAAAAGGATATAGGGTGATGTTGATGTTAAATAGCTTTATTTAGTCATTTAACTATACGTATGCATCAGAACATGTTATGTATCACAGATAGGGATTTTTATTTGTTAGAACATTTAACCTCCCAATTAAGATGCCCAAGTCTCAGGGCTGGCACAATAGCCCAGTTGGCTAATCCTCCACCTGTGAGCTCCTGAATCCCATATCAGTGCCGGTTTGTGTTGCAGCTATTCCACTTCCCATCCAGTTCCCTGCTTGTGGCCTGGGAAAGTAACAGAGGGTGGCCCAAAGCCTTGGGACCCTGCCACCCACATTGGAGACCAATAAGAAGCTCCTGGCTCCTGGTTTCAGATCAGCTCAACTACAGCCATTCTGGCTATTTGGGGAGTGAACCAACAGACAGAAGATCTTTTTCTTTGTCTCTCCTTCTCTCTATAAATCTGGTCTGCTTTTCCAATAAAAATAAATCTTTTAAAAAATTAAAATCATGACAATTAAAATTTTAATCATTGAACGTGGAATAGACACAGCTATCCTGCTCCTAGGAATATTCCCAAAGGAAATGAAAACTGCATAAGAAGGGGATCTATAACCCTGTATTTACAGCAGCACAGTCTCCAATAGCAAAGACATGGAAACAATCCAGGTGCCCATTCAAAGAGGAGTGTTTAAAGAAACTGTGGTACATCTTCTCTGGAATATTACTCAGCCATTAAAAAGAATGAAATTAAACCATTTGCAACTAGATGGTCCCAACTAGAGACCATTATGCTCAGTGAAATAAATCAATCCCTAAAAGACAAATACCATATATTCTCTCTAGGATAAGGAAATCATCATGCAAATTAGAATATATAGTGATGAATCAATAGAGACTGCCATATCCAGATGTGAAGATAATGCAACATGCATCCCTACTTCCAAATCAAAGATGGATTCCCAATAAAGCTGGTGGACATGTGTAAACAATGGGATGATGGACTGCTGACATTGTCTGTACCAACAGTGTTGGGGCACACTTAAATAGCAGACTGATGGAAATATAACTCCTTATAAAGGACTATACTATTGTAACAATATGGGAAATATCAGGGGGTAGAAATTTTGGAGGGGAACCCCCAACTCTACAGAATTGTATCATAAAATTTAAATTTAAAAAAAGTGGTACAAGAAATTGTTCCAGACTCCTGAAGGAACAGCCTAAGAATATATATTTAAAATTATCATGTTTTTTTACCTGGCTATGTAGCCTAAAGAAATAGTTCAGAAGAACACAGAATCAGAGGATTTGGCAACAAAGGTGATATTTAGCAACCCTACTTTGAAGAGCAAATACTGAGAACAGCACACTTAGGAACAATTGAGGATTGGTTAGGTGAATCATAGTCTGTTTACTTTCTATAATTCTATGTAGACATTAAAAATGAAAAACTGGGCCCAGCGCAGTAGCCTAGTGGATAAAGTCCTCACCTTGCATTAGCCAAGATCTCATTTGGGCACCAGTTCATATCCCGGCAGCCCTGCTTCCCATCCAGCTCCCTGCTTGTGGCCTAGGAAAGCAGTAGAGGATGGCCCAAAGCCTCTGGGACCCTGCACCTGTGTGGGAGACCTGGAAGAATCCCCTGAATCCTGACTTCAGGCTAGCTCAGCTCTGGCTGTTGCCACCACTTGGGGATTGAACCAGAGGATAGGAGATCTTTCTGTCTCTCTCCTTCCCTCTCTCTGTAAATCTGACTTTCCAATAAAAATAAATACTTTTAAATGAAAAACAAAGTGTACCTGTTGTATACTCATGTAAGTGTGTTTATAAAATATAGCTCTGAGCTATATATGATGAACAAATTACCATGAATGCATGTAAATGCACAAAGATGAAAATAGTTCCGTGATTGGAATAATGGGGTTGTTTCATGCATTTTTCTCTGTAATTATTCTGCTTAAATAAGAAGTTGATTTTTTTTTTTCTGTGACAATGTCATTTTTACCTCTTCCCTAGTCAACACAGACACAGAAACCGCTGTTGTCAATGTCACATATGCAACAAGAGAAGAAGCAAAGACGTAAGTGAATTGGAGCTTGATTCCTTTTAGCTTCAGTTTTCTCTTTGGATTCTGTTGAGCCCTGGGTTATGAGACTTTTCTGAAAACATGCAGGCTGTGGAGGCCTGTCTGTGCTACCCGTGACGTGCCCTCGGATCTCTCCATATTTGTGGCAGACTATTTACTGATCACATGGGCGCTCTGTCTTGGAAGATGCTGAGTTTTAGCGTTATCATCCAGACCCAGGAGGAAGGAGTGTGTCTTGACCTGGTCAGGTCTGTGGCATCATATCCCGTAGTCTTGCTCTACCAACTGTCTGGGGTCCCTTCGGCTGGAGTTCCTCCCAGCTCCCTGATGAAGACGTTCAAGGCTGTTTCTGTCTACACTGAATGGATCTGACACGCCCGGTTTTCCTCCATGCAGTGTTGGGAGGCGCTCTGTCTGAGCGACAGCAGCAGGGAGAGTTGTTTGGGATCAGTTATTCTGTAAGTCTGAGTGTGGCTTCATTTTCCATACCCTCAGTTTTCATCCCAGTTCCTATTGATTCCACATTGTTTCTGCATTGCTTCAGTGGTGATTAATTTTGAGCTTAGCTATTAATGGACCTGGGATTTAATTTTTTTTAAAAAGCAGCAAATAGAAATATCTATCTGTAGGAGATCTTTGTAGTACCTGTCAATTCATCACAATTATGATGACTTTAGGATTGCTGTTATGTGACCATGTGCTGTATGGATATGATACAACTGTGGCTGTATGTTCCAGAACTGCGGTCATTTCCTTTTCAAGTTTTCAACAAGCATGAAGACATAATTACTCATCTTATGCCAGTGTTTTTTTTAAAGTTACTTTGCCCTGCAAAAATAACCAATTTTCTGTAAGTGTTTGTTCACATCTGTAAGCAGGGGATATGCCAAGAACTGTCATTTACAGTCCAGCCCTGCTTACCTGCTTGGACAGCTGTATGTGACATTATTCTGTTGCCTTTTCTGACTTCAGAAGGTGCTATTTGTAATAAATTCCAAAACCCTGAAGAGAAGCCTAGTAGGATTGGGATAATTCTGCTAAAAGCATTTGAAGAATCTGTCTACTTCATGTTAGATTTTTAAATGTGCTCCTGACTCCAACCACAGCCATGTGGGCAGTTGGTGATAGAACCAACTGGTGAAAGAGCTGCTGCTTTCTGTCCCTTTTATGTTCTCTCTGTGTGTCTGTCTGCCTTTTAAATGACAATAAATAAATAATTGTAAAGAAAAAACTTAATGACATGAAAAAATGTTTAAAATATGGTTCTGGGCTCAGCATGATAGCCTAGTGGCGAAAGTCCTTGCCTTGCACATGCTGCAATCCCGTATGGATGCCGGTTCTAATCCCGGCAGCTCCACTTCCCATCCAGCTCCCTGCTTGTGGCCTGGGAAAGCAGTCAAGAAGGGCCCTAAGCCTTGGGTCCCTGCACCCGCGTGAGAGATCTGGAGAAGGCTGCTGGCTCCTGGCTTCAGATCAGCTCAGCTCCGCTCCAGTCATTGCAGCCACTTGGGGAATGAACCATCAGATGGAGGATCTTCCTCTCTGTCTCTCTTCCTCTCTGTATATCTGCCTTTCCAATAAAAATAAATCTTAAAAAATATATATGGTTCTAAGACTGCTAACGGTCAGCGTGGATTCCCATATACCTTACTAGGTAAAACACAAAGATTAATTACTCCTCACTAGGGTATCAAAGATTTCTCTGCACACCCCTCCTAACACTGTTCTGTACCTCAACTGTTGACATATGCCTTGTTAGAGTTATAAGCCAGGTTGACTATCCTAAAATCTGCCAAGTTCAGCAAAATTATGCTTCAACACAATAAACTGCTAAATACTAAAATGAAAATAGACACGAGACAGCTGAATAGTACCCTAGAGCCATTTTAAGGTGTATAGAAGCTGGTTGTTTATAAACTAAAATTGAAATGTCAATGAAGTAGTCACAGGATGTGGTTAAGAACTTGCATTTTTTAACATATTGGTTACCCAATACCATGTCAAATAATTCCATAATGCTGTAAATTGTTGTTGATGTTATGTTGGGGCTTTTAATTGATCGGGATGGTATTCTGCCAGCTCTATCTTCAGACCAGAGATGGTCTCCCCAAGAAACTGTTGAATTTATCCGGACAATAAGATGCTGAATTCTATGCTTGGTAGATGCTTGCAACAAAAGAATCTTGATTTAATTTGAACTGTAATACTGCAACAAGGTGGAGGAATCCACCATGTGGGGAGGGTGTGGGGAGGGATTGGGAGAATCCCAGAGCCTATGAAACTGTGTCACATAATGCAATGTAATTAATAAAGCACACACACACACATATATGGTTCTAATCATTAGAAAATAGTACATGCAATACTGATCAACTTTAGTAAAATTTCTATTTAGGAAAGACATATGATGGGTTAGAACTTTTGTATCTGTGCTTATATGTTTCTGAATAATCACTAACAAGTCAGTGTCATATTTAGAATGAGCAGACAAGGGTCTTAATTGCATATCAGCATTTGCCAAGAGGTTTTTTGTTTGTTTGTTTTATGAGAAGTCAGCCTTGAATGATGGAAAAGAGCAGAGTCAGAGTGCATAAGTGTATCAGATCTGGCTGATCTTGAGTAGCGCAGTGTGGTTACTTGTCTCCATGTCCACTGCGTGACCTGGGGGCATCTGGATGGCGGCGCGCTCAGTGCTGTTTCTGCGATGCCTGGCTTCAGGGAGATCCGTCTTAATGTTGCTCTCTGCTGCATTTCAGAGCCATTGAGAAGCTAAGCGGGCATCAGTTTGAGAACTACTCCTTCAAGATTTCCTACATCCCGGATGAAGAGGTGAGCTCCCCTTCGCCCCCTCAGCGAGCCCAGCGTGGGGACCACTCTTCCCGGGAGCAAGGCCACGCCCCTGGGGGCTCTTCTCAGGCCAGACAGATTGATTTCCCGCTGCGGATCCTGGTCCCCACCCAGTTTGTTGGTGCCATCATCGGAAAGGAGGGCTTGACCATAAAGAACATCACTAAGCAGACCCAGTCCCGGTACGTGCCTCCGGGGCTTCCTTTGCTTCCTTCTGAGGGGTCCCCTGAGTGCTGGTGGGTCTCAGCCACCCTTGGTCACTTGCTCACAGCAGCACTGGGGGCTGTGCTAGATGGGACAACGGCTTCATTAAACAGGATTACTAACAGACTAACATGAGCCAAGGGCTTTGGTGAGCTTCATGCTAACGGACTAACAGACCCTGAGAGGCTGCAGGTTGGCACTGATGACCTCACAGCCAAGGACTGTTCCCATCAACTAACAAATGCTCATGAATGTCTATTTCTAAAACAGCACAAGTGCGGGGCTCTGTGGGGTCCTAGAATCCACTTCTACCTGTCCTTCCGCTGCCTCTGAGTCAGAGTCCAGGAGTAGCCATTGTTTGAGGCCGCTTTGTAGTCTCAAAACGCCACAAGATGGTAGCCAAGGAGTGGCTGCTACATGAACAAGAAATAAAGCACACGGGTCTCATGTGTACAGTTTGTCCAGGGGAACAGAACCAGAGGTAGGAGTTAGCAGATAAGGTGACTTGTGGAGTTGCTGGCTTTTGTATCTTCATAACACCGCAGCACAGTGTCATGAAGAAAGCACAGAACTTGAAAACAATTGTTGATATTCAAATTTTACAACTTAAAGGCCGAATGATGGGGGTGGCAGCAATCTCTCTAAGACATGGATTGCTTCTTCTATAAAAAAGAACTAGCTGTGTTTTGCCAAGATTATTAAGATTAGTACAGCCAGGATGATTGGATGAAATGAGAGAATACTTAAATCAGGCAGTACCAAGTGAAAGTGATTTTTATTTATGTCTTTTTGTTCTAAAAATTGTTTCAGGTGGCTTAAATGCATTTTTCAACAAGTGTAAATACCGGTGAGGTTAGCTCTGAGTGTTGTGTGCGTCCATTTTTATTAGAAATAGGACAAAGATTCGGCACTGGGCTTTCTGACAGCCAAAGCAGAAAGGGATGTCATCAATTATGTGATTTTGAAAGTTCACAAAAACAAGTAAGACCACAACTACCCGGCGAAGTCTGATAAAGTCATCAAGCTTTTGAGCCATTAGTTTTAAGAGCCTGGAAGGAGGCAGGCTGCCAGTGGAAAGGAGAACAAAAACTTAGAGGGCAGGCCTCTGTTTTCTCTCCACACTCAAATATAGAAAGCTTGCTTGATTTGGGTGTTTTGATTTGGATTAACACACGGCTCTTAAAGGCTGCGATCAGTTGAGAGTCCGGCACCGCGCCAACGTGCAGCGTGATCCTCACTTTATCCTTCACTCCTACAGCCCCTGGAAAAGGCGCATAAAATACTTCCCTTACCACAGCAACTTCGTTACCAAGTGGGCTTGCTGCCTTTTTTTGCCACAGTTAGAACCATTCCCTTCTAGCTGAGCCTTTCAGGACTAGAGTCTGGCACAAGGCCCCCTGCTCTGCTTGCCTCCTCCTTGGAGAATGGCCTTGGTTGCAAACGTGCTCGTGACGCTCTCTTGTCTGTGTCCTCGCTGTGTGCTGGTGGGTGTGCCTCTGCTTTGGGAGTAGGGTTCTAGCTCGGGTGGCCTTGTCCTTATAAGTCTTGATTCTCTTTCTACAGGGTAGACATCCATAGGAAGGAGAACTCTGGGGCCGCAGAGAAGCCTGTCACCATCCATGCCAGCCCAGAGGGGACCTCTGAAGCATGCCGCATGATTCTGGAAATCATGCAGAAAGAGGCTGATGAGACCAAACTGTGAGTTTGCATACAGGGCCCAGATGACTGAACAGACAGTAAGAATAGATGCCCTTCATTCAGCCAAATATGTATTTTTTTTAAAAGATTTATTTATTTATTGGAAAGTCAGATATACAGAGAGGAGGAGAGACAGAGAGGAAGATCTTCTGTCCGATGATTCACTCCCCAAGTGACTACAACGGCCAATGCTATGCCGATCCAAAGCCAGGATCCAGGAACTTCTTCCAGGTCTCCAACACGGGTGCAGGTTCCCAAAGCATTGGGCCATCCTCAACTGCTTTCCCAGGCCACAAGCAGGGAGATGGATGGGAAGTGGAGCTGCTGGGATTAGAACTGGCGCCCATATGGGATCCCAGGGCGTTCAAGGCGAGGACTTTAGCCGCTAGGCCACACTGCCTGGCCCAAATATGTATTTTTAAAACTTTAAGTCAGGGGGCGCAGCATATGACCTAGTGGCTAAATCCTTGCCTTGCAATTGCAGGGATCCTATATGGGCACTGGTTCTTGTCCCAGCTACCCCATTCCCATCCAGCTCCCTGCTTGTGGCCTGGAAAAGCAGTGGAGGACAACCCAAAGCCTTGGGACCCTGCACCTGTGTGGGAGACCTGGAGAAGCTGCTGGCTCCTGGCTCCTGGCTCCTGGCTCCTGGCTTCGGATCGGCTCAGCTCTGGCCATTGTGGCCACTTGGGAAATAAACCAGAGGACGAACTATCTTTCTCTGTTTCTCTCTGTAAATCTGCGTTTCCATTAAATATAAATAAATAAATCTTTTTTAAAAAAGGAAAAAACAGGGGTTAGGATTAAACACATACCCCAGCCTTTAAAAGAAGACAAACACTTTAACTCTGGGATACACATCCCATAACTGCTCCAGCTTCCTGCTAATGAAGCTTGAGAGGAAGTAAAGGATGGTTCAGTTATTTGGACCTGTGCTACGCATATGGAATACCTGGATAGTGTGTTATGAGCTCCTGGCTTTAGCCTTGGGCCATCTCTGGCTTTTGTGTTTGGGTGGTGAACCAGTGAATGGAACATCTCTCCCTCTATCTTTCTGTATATCTATGTCTCTCTCTCTCTCTCTCTCTCTCTCTCTCTCTCTCTCTCTCTCTCTCTGCCTGTAAAGTAGATGAGAAATAAATTTAAAATCTTAATAAGGGATTGTATTTAAGAAGTTTGTTCCCTTGGGGCTGGAGTTGTGGCAAGCACGCTAAGCTTCTGCATGAGGTACTGGCATCCCATGTTAGGTAGTGATTCAAGCCTTCCCTCCACCTCCTATTCTACTTCTGATCCAGCTGCCTGCTAGTGGCCTGGAAACTCAGCAAGACAGCTCAAGTTCTCAGGCCCCTGCACCCATATATTGAAGACCCGGAAGAAGCTCCCAGCTCCTGAATTTGGGGACCAGCCCAGCTTGGGCTATTGTAACTATTTGGGAAGTGAAACAGCAGATGAAAGATTGTCTGTGTAACTCTGCTTTTCAAATAAATTTTTAAAATTACTAATTAAAAAAAAAGAAGTTTGTTCCCAAGTGGAGTACAGTGGAAAATAGATCTTTGACATTCACCCGTGGCTGTTTTGCTGCCGTGTGATTCTTCTGGTGACCCTAACCTGTGACCCCATTGGTAATAATTATAGACACATAGACTCATGCTGTCCGGTAGACTTTCTGCAGAAATGGAAATGTTCTGTCTGCCCTGTTCAATAAAATAGCTACTACCACATGTTGCTGTGGAGTAATTAAATTGTGATTAGTGCAACGAAGGAAATGAGTGTTTTGTTTTAATTAGTTCAAGTGTCAATAGGCATGTGTATGGCTAATGACTGCCATATTGGACAAGGCAAGTCCGCAATCCCTGTTGTCACCAAATCCATCCAGTGCTGTTCTAGAAAATTTTTTTTTCTTTCTATCATGCCTTAGAACTAGATGACAATTCAAGCTGACTTTTGGCTTCTACGTTACACTTCTTGCTTTTTTTTGTTTGGTTCTGTAATTTCCTCGCCTTTCTTTTTTTGAAAAACTTGAGATTCCATAGTGTGGTAAGTGTTATGCCAATCTTAATGCCTAATACAGTCTGTGTGCACTAATGGGTGGTAGTTAATAAATAAAGAGACTACTGTCAGCTTGGGAAAACGTGTTTATACACAGCTATGGTAATTTTATGAGGAGCAGTGAAAGATATATTAAATATAACATTAATTTAGCAACTTAGCATCATGAATATTTCAAAACCAAGAAAGTAAAGGTAGTCTTTAAAAATAGATTTATTTCTGTTGGAAAGGAAAGGCAGATTTACAGAGAGAACGAGATACAGAGAAGATCTTCCGTGTCTCCCATGTGAGTGCAGGGGCCCAAACACTGGGCCATCTACTGCTATCCCAGCCACAGTAGCAGGAAGTTGGATAGGAAGTGGAGCAGCTGGGACCTGAATTGGTGCCCATATGTGATCCCAGCATGTCCAAGGCAAGAATTTAGCCATAGAGCTCTTTACAGGGAGAGCTCTGCAAATCTGTTTTCAGATTTCCTTAGGAACCCTGACCTTTCTGTTGTGAATTATTTTCTCTGCATGGACTTTGGAAGCTCCCCCTAATGCTGTCATTTGGTTTGAAAGCGCCCCAGCTCATACAGATTGAGAACTTTATAAATGGCCCCCTCCTCTCCCGTGATCTAACACAAGCAAATTGCAAAATTCTAAGTAGTCAAGACTACTGATGCATAGATAGAATTTTTTTTATTGGAAAGGCAGATATACAGAGAGGAGAGACAGAGAGGAAGATCTTCCGTCCGATGATTAACTCCCCAAGTGAGCGCAACAGTCGATGCTATGCCGATCCGAAGCCAGGAGCCTCTTCCAGGTCTCCCATGCGGGTGCAGGGTCCCAAAGCTTTGGGCCATCCTCAACTGCTTTCCTGGGCCACAAGCAGGGAGCTGGATGGGAAGTAGAGCTGCCAGGATTAGAACCGGCGCCCATATGGGATCCTGGCGCGTTCAAGGCGAGGACTTTAGCCTCTAGGCCACGCCGCCAGGCCCATAAGGAGGAATATCTTTGACATAACTTTTCTAAGTACATTGCTGAAGACGCCAAAACTCCTGAGCTAGACCCAGGTCCTGCTTGGAAGGAGCTTGCGGCCCACTGGTTAAACAAATGATAACCCCCCTGAGTAATAAATTGTGATGTGAGAAGTGCAACTTTGGGGAAATGCTGTGTCTAATGATCTGTGTAAAGGACACTCCAATCCCAGTTTCAGAGGGATAGGGGGATTGACGTGTTTCAGAAAGGGTGCTCTGTAGGTGACAGAACCCAGAGGGGACTGAGTAAGAGGTAAAAAAAAGAAATACATGACAACAGGGATCCTGGCTTAGCCAGTTTTCTGTTGCTAACCCCCTGGATCTCTTTATAAAGAGAACAGGTTTGGAGGTGGAATGTCCAGGAGTGTCAGCAGCCCCTGTATTTACCTTCAAGAGAATTCCCTGACCGCATCAGCCCCCCATGGTGGATCCTGCGATAATGAGAGGGCATTCAAGAGGGAGAGATTGTGGGCTATGAGCACGGCAGCTCCAGGAGCGCAGGACTTACTCCTGCTCTTACATCCCATTTGCATTGCACAGAAACTCACTGCTCCGGGTCTCCATTAATCCCTTCTTCTTTTTTTAAGATTTATTTTTGTTGGAAAGGCAGATATACAGAGAGGAGGAAAGACAGGAAGATCTTCCGTCCAATGGTTCACTCCCCCAAGGGGCCGCAATGGCTGGAGCTAAGCCAATCCAAAGCCAGGAGCCAGGAGTTCTTCCAGGTCTCCCACGCGGATGCAGGGTCCCAAGGTATTGGGCCATTCTTGACTGCTTTCCCAGGCCACAAGCAGGGAGCTGGATGGGAAGTGGAGCTGCCAGGATTAGAACCAGTGCCCACATGGGATCCCAGCGCGTGCAAGGCAAGGACTTTAACCACTAGGCTATCGCGCTGAGCCCCATTAATCTCTTCTTAGGGCAATGCCCTGGAGAGACACTGCTTCTTCCATTGGGCTCCATCACCTAAGGGTTCCTCCAACTCAGTACCACCACTGTGGGAAACACCAGCACATGAATCCTTGGGGCTCAATTGCATTGAAATCATAGCAGATCCTATTCTTTTTCATTCATTTTTCAAATATGTACTGAGCACCTACTGGGTGTGTCAGGCATTGTTCGTTATACTGGAACTCGGCAGTGAACAAAGCTGACAAAATCCCTGTTCTCAGGGCCAGCATGATGGCTCAACTGGCTAATTCTCTGCCTGCAAAACACCAGCATCCCACTTCTTGCCTACTACACTTCCCATCCAGCTTGCTGTTTGTGACCTGGGAAAGCAGTAGGGGATGGCCCAAAGCCTTGGGACCGTTCACCCACGTGAGCGACCCAAAGCACCTCTTTGCTCCTGGCTCTGGATCAGCTCAGCTCCAGTCATTGCAGCCATTTAGGGGGTGAACCAGCAGATGGAAGATCTTTTTCTCTGACTTTCCTCTGTAAATCTGCCTTTCAACTAAAAATAAGTGAATCTTTACAAAACAAGTGAACAAACAAAAAATTGCCTGTTCTCAAAGTTACTTCATTGTGATGCTTCTGTTCGCCTTGAGGAAATAATAATGCACCTGTTAGATACTTTGGGCTCAGTAACAGAAAACAAGTCCTGCAAGCCCTCAGATGTGACCATTATGTTGTGGAAGATTCACCTGACTTTGGGGCTCAAAGCCACAGGATGCTTTTCTGCACTGCCTTCCTCAGGGCGGGTTATGCTGCCTTGGTGATGCGAGTGTGGTTATAGTGATTTCAGAAATTACATCTCCACTGGAAAATATGAAAAAATGAAAGGGCATATCTTCTTTATATCTTTTCTTAAAAACTTTTCTAAGAATTGTGATTTTTAAATATATGTATGTATAGCAGCTTCATCATTTTGAAGTACACTGTTCAGTGGTGTGAAGAGTATTCACAAGGTTATTAAAGTGAGATCTCCAGAACCTTC